TATTGGCTGCCTATTAGGGATTTAGCCCACAACCCAGGCCTGTTTCTGAACAGGAATTGAACCAGTAACTTCTTGGTACATGGGACAACACTCAACCATGTTACACTGGCCCGGGCTTTACCAAACATTTAAAGAAGAATTAATGCTACTCCTTCTCAAACTCTTCTAAAAACAGAAGAAGGAACATTTCCAAACTATTTTTATGAGGCTAGTATTACTCTGATACCAAAGCCAGATAAAGACACTGTAAGAACAGAAAATTATAGGCCAAATTTCTGTTTTTTTCTTTTTCTTTTTTTAATCCTCATCTGAAGATATTTTTTCCACTAGAGGCCTGGTGCACGAATTCATGCATGGGTGGGGTTCCTTGGCCTGGACAGCGATTGGAGCTGATTGGGGCTGTCTTGCTCAGTCCCGATAGGAGCTGATCAGGGCTGGCTGGCGGGGGTAGGGGGCAGCTCCTGCGTTGAGTGTCTGCCCCCTGGTGGTCAGTACACATCACAGTGATCGGTCAATTGGTCTACAGGTCATAATGGTCTCTTAGGTTTATATATATAGATTGATTTTCAGACAGAGTGTAAAGGAAGAAGGAGTGGAGGAGAAAGAGAGAGAGAGAGAGAGAGAATCATTGATGTGAGAGGGACACACCTATTGGTTGCCCCTGCATATGCACTGACTGGGGCCTGGGATCAAATCTTTAAGATCAGATACAAGACAAGGATGCCCATTCTTCATTCTTGCCACTTGTATTCATCTGAAAGTCCTAGTCAGAGCAGTTAGTAAATGAAGAAGAAAGAAGTCTCTATTTGTAGATGACATGATATTATATACAGAAAACTCTAAAGACTGCACCAAAAGATTGCTAGAACTTATAAACAAATTTAGGAAAGTTGGAGGTATAAAATCAATATATAGAAATCTGTTGCACTAACAAAAAATTATCAGAAAAAATTGGATACAGTCCCATTTTTAATAACACCAAGAAGAAATATTTAGGAGTAAATTAACTATGGAAGTGAAAGATCTATACACTGAAAACTATCAAACATTAATGAAAAATTGAAGAAAATACAAATAAGTGGAAAATATTTTGTGTTCATGGATTGGAAGAATTAATAATGTTAAAAGATCAATATTACTCAGAGTTCTACAGATTCAATGCAATTCTTATCAAAATTTTTCACAGAAATAGAGACAAAATCCTAAAATTCATATGGAACCACAAATGATTCCAAACAGCCAACGCAATCTTGAAAAAAAAAAAAAAGCTGGACACATCACACTTCCTGATTTCTAACTATATTACAAAGCTATAGTAGTGTGGTACAGGTCAAAATAGATACATAGATCACTACAACAGAATATAAACACAGAAATAAACCCATGCATATATGATCAATTAATTTTCAACAAAGGAGCCAAAAATATACAGTGGGAAAGAATAGTGGTGTAGGGGAAACTGGATATCGATATCTACATGCTAAAGAATTAAAATGGACTCCTATTTTGCACTGTACACAAAAATCAACTCAGATTGGATTAAGACTTGTATATATGACCTGAAACCATAAAAGTCCTAGAAGAAAACATAGGGAATAAGCTCCTACTCTTTTTTTTTAAAGCAACTTTTTTTTAATATATCTTATTAATTTTTTACAGAGAGGAAGGGAGAGAGATAGAGAGTTAGAAACATCGATGAGAGAGAAACATCGATTAGCTGCATCCTGCACACCTCCCACTGGGGATGTGCCCACAACCAAGGTACATGCCCTTGACCGGGATCGAACCTGGGCACCTTCAGTCCGCAGGCCGATGCTCTATCCACTGGGCCAAACCGGTTTTGGCTAAGCTCCTACTCTTGAGAATACTTATAGCTCAAGGGAATCTAAAGGGGAGGGTGCCTTCTTTTCCAGTGTTGGTATTACTGGGTTCAACTCCCATCTTGATTCTACCCTGCCCCTTAGTCATCATAGAAATGCAAATCAAAACCACAATGAGATGCAACCTCACACCTATAAGGATTCTATTATCATAAAGAAAAGACGTAACAAATGCTGGGAGGATGTGGAGAAATGGGAACTCTTGTATACTATTAACTTTATTAAAAATTGGCTCAGCCTGGCTGGCGTGGCTCAGTGGTTGAGCCAGGACCTATGAACCAGAAGCTCACAGTTTGATTCTGGGGTCGGGGCACAAGCCTGGGTTGCAGGCTCAATCCCCAGTGTGGGGTGAGAAGAAGGCAGCCGATCAATGATTCTCTCTCATCATTGATGTTTCTATATTTCTCTTCCTTATCCCTTCCTCTCTGAAATCAATGAAAAAATATTTTAAAAATATTGGCTCAATGGATCACAGATGTAAATGTAAAACATAAAACTATAACACTTTTTTAAAAATCAAGGAAAAACTTCAGGATATAGAGTTAGGCAAAGAATTATTGAACTTGACACTAAAAGTATAATCTATAAAACAAAAATTGATAAATTAGATTCTATCAAAATTCAGAACGTTTCCTCTGCAAAAGATCCTGTTAATAGGATAAAAAGTCAAGCTACAGATTGGGAAAAAATACTTTAAACCACATATGTGACAAAAAACTAAAATCAAGAATATGTTAAAAACCCTCAAAACTTAATAGTGTAAAAAAAGCCCAAACAATCCAATTAGAAATGGGCAAAAGATATAAAGAGACATTTCACCAAAGAGGAATATGTGCAGGTAGCTATACATGCTGTTCCCTAGCCATCACAGAAATGCAAGTGGAGACCAACATGAGAAATTACTACATACTTAAAATAAAAATTAATGACAATGCAAAATGCTGGTAAGGATGCATAAAAACTACATTGCTGATGGAAATTAAAATGGTATTACCAATCTGGAAAACAATTTTGTCAATTTCTTAAAAAACTAAACATGCAACTGCCATAGAAGCAATTACACTCCTGGTATTTATTACAGAGAAATGAAACCTGGTTATGAATGTTCACAGCAACTTTGTTTTTGTTTTGCCATTGATTTGTAGAGAGAGTGGAAGGGAGTGAGGGGGAGAGAGAGAGAGAAAAACATCATGTGAGAGAGACACATCCATGGGTTGCTTCCTGCATATGCCCTGAAGAATTTGGTTATGTCTATAGACTACTATTTTATAACTACTATTTTATATTCCCCATGTGCCACTTCATTTACTGCTGTGAGAAATCGACTTCTAATTGTCCAAATTTTCCACAGTGCAAACCCTGTGGAAAGGAGCTACATCTACTAGTATTTTGTAGGCTCTATGTTGAATGTTTGCGAGCACAACTGACTAAAGAGTAAATTAATGGTTTCACATTATGAAGGACAGTGCTATTTGTATGTGTGTGTATATAAACAGCCTTTGAGATATAATTCACATGTCATATAGTTGACCCATTTCAAGTATACGATACAGTGATTGGTTGTTTCTTTAACAGGGCAAAAAGGATGTGACCCAGATATTTAACAACATCCTGAGAAGACAGATAGGTACTCGATGTCCTACTGTGGAGTACATTAGTGCTCATCCTCATATCCTGTTTATGCTCCTCAAAGGGTAAGTACATGGTTTCCTTCAAAGTAGGTTTGAGTTTAGAATAGTTGTTAAAAGTAGAACTTATATGTATAGCCCATGGACAGATAATAGTGCGGGGAAGGCCTGGGGAGGAGGGGGGAGGGGGGAGACAGCCAACAGGGGGAAAGGGGGACATCTGTAATACTTTCATCAATAAAGATAAAATTTTTAAAAAGTATATAGCATTAACCTCATTTTGAGATATGATGGGTTCTCTTTTGTAATAACAGTAAAGGTATTTGCCATCCTTAAGGTCAGCCTTCCAAATCAGCATCACCATAATTACTTAGACCACAACAAAATCCTTTCTTTACTTCTTTATATTCCTTTTTTCAATATTAAATTTATTGGGTGATATTGGTTAATAAAATTATATAAGTTTCAAGTGTACTATTCTATATTACATCATTTGTATGTTACATTCTATGTTTACCACCCAAAGTCAAAACTCTTCCTGTCACCATATTTTGACCCCCATACCTTTACTACCTCCCTCCTCCCCACCTTTCCCCTCTGGTAACCACCATACTATTATCTGACTATGAGTTTTTGTATACTTGTCTTATTTGTTCATTTGTTGTTTTCAGTTTTCTATCCTACATGAGTGAAATCATATGATTCTTGACTTTTTCCATCTGACATATTTTGCTTAGCATGATATTCTTAAGATCCAACTATATAGTTGCAAATGGCAGTATTCCATCTTTTCTTATGGCTGAATAATATTCCATAGTATATATACCATATCTTTATCCACTCCTCTATCGAAGAATATGTCAGTTGTTTCCATGTCTTGGTCACTGTGAATAATGCTGCAATGAACATGGAGGCACATATATCTTTACGAATAAATGTTTTCAAATTTTCAGGTAGATACCCAGGAGAGGGATTGCTGGGTCACATGGTAACTCTAGTCTTAATTTTTTGAAGAACCTGTTAAACATAGTACATACTGGATGTCCTAGCCAGAGCAATCAGGCAACAGAAAGAAATAAAAGACATCCAAAAAAAATTAAAAAGACATCCAAATTAGGATTGAAGAAGTAAAATTATCACTTTTGGTGGAAGACAGGATTCTTTATATAGAAAACCCTTAAGACTCCATTAAAAAACTATTAGAAACAATAAATAAATATAGTAAATTTGCAGGATACAAAATCAATGTACAAAAATCCATTCCATTTCTCTATATAATAATGAAATTTTAGAAAAAGAAGTGAAAAAAATTCCTTTTGCAATTGCAACAAAAATAATAAATTACCTAGGAATAAAATTAACAAAAGATATGAAGGACCTATAACTGAAAACTATATTATTAAGAGAAATTGAATAAGACAAAGAAATGGAAAGATATTCTGTGTTCATAGATTGGATGAATCAACATAGTTAAAGTAGCCATATTACCCAAGGCAACATACGGATTTAATGCAACCCCCATCAAACTCCCAGTGGAATTTTCTCTCTTTTTTTTTATAGAGTTATGATGATATTATATGGAGCTTTAAAATACCCCAGTCAAAAAAAAAAAAACAGGGGAAAGGGGCATTAGGGAGATAGATGAAAGAAACACAGAAAAATATTGCCAGTTGTTAAGGCTGGGTGATGGGTACATTGGGTTTTTTTTTGTACTTTCTACTTTTTTACTTTTTTATACTAGTATGGTTAAAAATTATTTTAATAACAACTTTTATAAATAAGATTATTGGGAGGAATTTATGATTTTAATATTAGACTTCTGGCACATCTTCCACTGGTCATGATTCTTTATGGATCACTGAGAGTAGTTTAATAACCTCATCCTCAGGTTCTCTCACTACCCTGGAATGTCACTTATCTGGGCAAGGAGAAAAGTCCATTTAGAGAAAAGTCTTTACCATAGTCTTTTCATAAAATTTGGGCTCCAAATCCTTTATACCATATTTTGTATCCCATATCCAGATTAGTCTCTTTGGTGGACAAGTATTAATTTCTTTCTGACTTACATTCTTTATGGTTAGACTTAGGTTCAATATGGTATGTTACTATCATATATCTAAAGACAATTCAGTAAAAAAAAAATGCTGTTCTTTAACAAATTGTTAATTCTCTAGGATTTCAAGCTAAACTAGAAAGAAAATGGTGACAAGTAAAGTTGATTCTGATACAACTATTCCACTTAGGGCTTCTTGTTATCTGCCCTGTCTTCAGGGTTTCCTGTAATTCCCTCTTCCTTCACACTTAAACAGTCCTCAAATCTCATTAAAGATATTAATGGTAAAACAAACAAACAAAAAACCCCAACAAAACCTGAAATTTAGAAACAGATCTGGGTTGAAAACTTGCTTCTGTCGCTTACTAGCTGAATAACCTTGAGAAATCTAGCCTTATTTTCTCTAAGTTTCAATTTCATCATCTATAAAATGATAAGAATAATACCTGGTTCTCAGTATTATTAAAAAGATTAAATGAAATAACATAAGTAGAGATACTGAATGCAATACCTGTAACATAACAAGTATACAATAAATGGTATCTACAAAACAGGAAGTGGAAAAAATGGATTTAAAAGTTTGGGTTGAAACATAAAAGAAGAAAAAAAAAGAAAAGCATAAAAGGAGAATCATTATAATAGAGAATAAAAACCAGAGGAGTCATCACCAAATTGTTCATAATGGTTTCTTTGGGAGATATGCACTCCCTTTCTATATTATGCATTTCTAAAAATGTTTGAATTTTTAAATAATAAATATGTTATTACTTTCAATTGGAAAAAATTGAAATATTTAAAATATATATATATATATTCTCTTCATTCGCAAAATTACCAGTAAAGTTCTGACCCTAATTACCTCTTCTTGGACTCTTCCAAGCTGGAATCTCAGTTCCCCTAGTCTCCAAGCCATTTTCCTCATTGCCACTCAACTGATCATGTCTAATTCCTGGGTAGTCTCCAAAGTCTAATATTTGTCATGGTTCCTGCCCTCAAGAACCTTATCTATAAGTAGAATAAATGAAATAAATATTTGTTCTTTACCAAACCTAAGGTTATTGTTATTGTGATTTTAAACTTAAGATAGGCTTAACTTATGAACCACCTCTTTATATAATAGGCAATAAGCTATCGAAAGCCAGTATCCTGGAGGGTAGTCAGATTAGAATGATATATGTGTATTACAGATCCCTTAAACCAGGAGTGGGAAACCTTTTTTCTGCCAAGGGCCATTTGAATATTTATAACATCATTCGCAGGCCATACAAAATTATCAACTTAAAAAAAAATTAGCTACTATATTTGGTCAAACATTTAATTAACTCACCCCTAATGCCTTGGCAGGGCCAGACCAAATGATTTCATGAGCCTTTATGGCCCGCGGGCCAGATGTTCCCCACCCCTGCTTTAAAGTGTACAGTTTGGTGGCATTAAATGCATCCACAATGGTGAGCACCATTACCACTATCCAGTTGCAGACTATTGTGCATATGAGTGTTAGAAATTTTAAGTGATTCAGAAGTGATTATTATTTCTTAATATCCAAAACTTGTGAAAAAGTAGAGAGTAAACAGTAAAGTTCCATTTTGTATTTTAACTAGATGCCCGGTCCTTGAAGTTCATGCACGGACATGTGGGGTGGTCCCTCAGCCCAGCCTGCCCCCTCTCACATACTGGGAGCCCTCAGGGGATGTCCTACTGATGGCTTAGGCCTACTGCTCCCTGCTTTCCTTGGGGAGCGGGCCTAAGCTGCAGTCTGGCCTTCCTTTATGGGAGGCGACCGGGCTGATCAGAGGAAGGCACCAGCCCCATCACCCTGCTGCTGCAGCCACTGCCAGTCACTGCAGCCACCACGGTGTTTTCATCAACATGGACTCCAGTCCCTTGACCATGAAAAAATGGCCACTTTCTTTA